AATAAGATTACATAAATTCACCAAATAAACTTTTAGAAAAAAACACCCAATTATTACATAACCTCACCAAATAAACTTTATAAAAAAAGCACACTAAATAAAATTTCATAAACTTAAAAAAAATACACTTTATTCTTCAACTAGAAGCTCATTTTAATTATCTTCACATTGTTACAATCCCCACTGCTGCTCAATCAAGTCATTATGGTGGCGTATGTGCTAGTATGGCTTTTGCACTAAAGTGTACCGCTCAAAGATCAATTCATTGTAATGTCCATCCCATTCTAACGGCTCATGTTGCACGGGATCTTCGGTCCGGTCATGAGCATAGTAGATACGTGTTTTTCAGTTGTTCATCGTATCCGACTCATATTCATCGACGACATCATAATCATACTCATCTTCCACAATCATGTTGTGGAGAATAATACACGTCATCATGATGGATTGAAGAGCCTTGACATCAAACATTCTAGCAGCAGCCCTGACAATCGCCAAGCGAGCTTGCAGAATACCAAAACAATGCTCCACATCCTTCCTACACCCCTCTTGAAATTCTGTGAAGTGTTTTTCTTTTTCACTATGTAGATGTGGGACTGTTTTGACAAACGTTGACCACCTTGGGTAAATGTCGTCTGCAAGGTAATATGGTCCGTCATATTTATGGCCATTAACCCAATATGTGCATCTCGGCATTTTTCCTTGCAACAATTCGTCAAACACTGGAGATTAGGTAAGGACATTTAGGTTATTTTGAGCTCCTGGAACACCAAAAAAGCATGCCAAATTCATGTATCAAATGAAGCCACCGCTTCCAAAATGATACTTTTGGCTTATTATTGTCGCCATAAGCTCATTACCACGCACTTGGACAGTGTTTCCAAGTCCAGTGCATGCAGTCGATGCTTCCAATCATGCCAAGGAAGCCTTGCATCTCACCCTTCCTCAGAAGCCTTCGCCTGTCCCTTGGCGTGGGTTTCCGAATGTACTCATTGGTGTAGAGCACTTCAATTGCAAAGCAAAACTGAATCAAGGACTCCAAAATAGTTATTTTTCCCATCCTCGCGATCTCATCAACTTGATATGTAGATGCTCCATATGCAAGCATTCGCAAAGCAGTCATAATTTTTTGCTCAGGAATAAGACCTAGAACATGAAAAGCATCATCTTTTTGCACAAAGTATGGATCATGGTTGCAAATAGTTTCCATGACACGTCTGGGTTTGGCTATCTGACCCATAACTTCCATGACACGGTGGGAATGTGAGGCCCTCTGTAACGCCCCGGCCCTGAAATTTTTTTTTTTCAGGGATTGATTTTGTCGATAGGCCCAATTTCAAATCATAGTTAATTTATTTTCATTAGTCACACTCCTCTAAGTCAATGATTTAGATTCTTACAAGCTATCCATATTTTCTTAAATGTCAAAACATAACATTAAATTAACAATTGAAAACACTATCATTAGTAGCATTCTCCAAATAGTTTCCTTCACCCCACGTGTAATTCATAAACATTAATCATTTACCAAAACATACAATTTCACTTCCAATTTAGAACCCTTTCCTTCTCTTAGGTCAAAATTCAATCTAAATATTAATTCTCAATTATTTAATCTCACTTATTTTATGGCTGCATCTAACGTCTCATTAGACTACCTACGTACCCTAAACAGGGATCAAACCATTCGTAGTTCACATTCTAAATTCTATTTCATAATCTTCACATTTTAAAATGACTAACACTTCATAAATTAAATCCAAACAATTGATTCACATCAAATATATTATAAATACGGGCTCAGAACATTGCAATTAGCTTAAAAAGAGCAATATCATTGTCTTAGCCACGCACCACCGCAGGTGGCGGTCGGCCGCTCCGACTCGCCGGAAAATTCAACTATTTTTAAAAATTCTCAAAAATTTCAGAAATAAAGATCTCAAAGAGTAGATCAAACTTTATACCTGCGGCCAAGTCCAGTTTGTCCGAGAAACCCCTCAAATTGGCCACGAACCGCTGAAACCCTTGTTTTGGGTGTTCTTGATTCAACTCCTCCAGTGATCCGCCGCCCCAACCAATGGATGGGCTTTGTTCATAAGGTTGAGGTATGACTATGTGTGGTGTTTATGGGTGGATTTAGCTTTAGATCATGGTAAATTTGAAGCCAACCCGTCACCTCTCCTCACTGTTTCTCTCGTAATCCTCCAAATTTTATTACATTTTCAGACTAAAATGGGAAAGAGATCGATTGGCCTTGAAGGAAGGGTCATTTTGACGCTAACCTCGCCGTCAATGGTGGTCGGAGTTGGGAGTTAGGTCTGGGTCGGGTCACGGTTTCACGGGTACCCATTTCCCCTGTATTTTCTCCTTTTCCTTCTCTCTCGTGCCCTCCTTTCCTTCCCCTCCCATTGGTCCCAGTCCCTCATTTTTCTCTTCTTCCCTTTTAATCACAGCCACACACGTTGCACTCCCATTGCTCCACATTTTCTGGAGCCTTCCCTCTTAATGCTAAAATGACTATTTCATCCTCAAATTCTATCGTTAATAACCTCTTCGTTATAACTCCGTTTCGCGAACAGTTTGCGTCCACGCATTCGTGAGATCAAGCTCTATTTTAAAATATAAATTGTGACCTCGAATGGTCTACGGATTTTAAATAATTAACTTCCAAACTTCAAACTTCGTAACCAGTTTAATTTAGAACTGATTTCAAATAAATTAATATGATTTCTTGAAAAATAACATAAAATCTCAATAATACAATTATGTGAATTATAATAATTTCTCAATTCTATCTTCATAACCATAAATCGATTTATTTTCGATTTTCTCCACATATTCATAATTATGAATATATTTCATATATTTAAGTATTCAGGGTATTACACCCTTTGCCTTCTATGGTCATCATCCTCATCCTCCTCCATTGCGAAAGTCTCATCTCCACCTCCACCTTCCTCGCGATTGATCAATTCTTCCTGTTGTGCCAACAATATTTTCTATTGCTCCTCAAACTGTTTATACACTCTCCTTGAAGAAGACATTGTAAAAAGAACTCAAGGTTTGAAAACGATGAAGAAGGATTTTGAGCTAAAAAGAATGATTGAGTTTGGTGTGAGGATGGATGCAGGGATGTAGGGTTTATATGGACAAAAAAAGAAAGGATAAGGTTCTGGATAATGTCATGTGGCACTACGTGATTGGTTAAAAATCTTATCAAAATCTTGGCTAAATTATTGTAAACAGATAATGACACGTGGGGCGTCGGGATTGATTGAAAATCTTATTGGAAATCTATCCCCAAAATAGTACATTCAGATAATGACACTTGGCGTGACAAGATTGGTTGAAAATCTTATTGCAATCTTGGCTAAACTATTGTAAACAGATAATGACACGAGACGCGTTGGGATTGGTTGAAAATCTTAGAGGAAATATATTCACAAAATAGTACGTTTGGATAATGACATGTGGCGTGACAAGATTGGTTAAAAATCCTATCCGAATTTAAAACTATTTTTTTATTTATTATTTTTTTAAAAAATTAATAATATTTTAAATGGGCTGGGTGCCAGCACATTTTGTAGGGGTGGAGATCGTTTGTGCTAGCGTATTTTTTAGACTTTGTGCCAACACATTTTTTAGGGGTGGAGATGCATTTGACCTATTACTATTCATTGGGGTCTATCACTGTTCATTGAGTGAATTAAATGGGCTGAATGCTTGCGTATTTTTTTAGGGGTGGAGTTGCTCTTAGAATATGCAAAAGTTAATTTCCCACAATACAGAATTGGTTATTAAAAGGGGAATTGAAGTCTCTGACTTTGGACGAATCAGTTGGATAAAGCTATGTCATATTTGACATTTTCGAGGTTTTTGTTTTCATATGATGTCCTTGATTCCTCGCTTTTACCTCCCATGAACCTCGCATAATCCTTTTTCATTCCTCACGTTTTCATATACTTTCTTTCTATCTCTAGAAACAAATCAAAACTAAAAACTAAAAAAGAAATAGTTATCAAATTGACAAAGAAATTCGCAAGATTCGATCCAGAAGGAGCAACACACAGAGGCTCCGCCCAAGCCTAGTGCGGGCAGGGCGACCGTCCGGGGTCCAAAAAAATTGGGGGCATCAAAATTATTAGAGTGGTATATATGTTTTTATAAGAGTATAAATTTATAAAATTTGGTTTAGTGATAAAAAAATTTAATTAGAACTGATAGTTTTGTTGTTTAAAAGTAATGAGGTGGTCGTAGGTTCAAAACACCATGTGTTTATTTACATTCCAATTTTTGCAAATTTCTTTTCATAACAATATAAAATTTATAAAATTTGGCTAAATGATCAAGAAGTTTAATTAGAAACGATGGTTTTTGTTGTTTAAATTAACGAGATGTCCTAAGTTTGAAATGCTATGTGCATGTTTTTTTCTTTTTTTTTATTTACAAATTTTACAAATTTTTGTTTGGTTGTTAATTTATTTACTAGCTAGTAGTTATGTGGGTTGCTATTTTTAAATATCCGTTCCAATTCAAGTCAAATCTTCAACAAAGAGTAATGCGTAAACTAAATTTTTAGACCAAATTTGCAGATAATATTATGTGTCATCAAAATGTTTAATTGAATGTTCATTCATTACTTAAACATTTCCTTAAAGACTTGAAAACATTATTATTTTTTTTTACGAGATTAGTAAATAAGAAAAAATACACAATTTATACAAAAACACTTTAAAAGTTCATATGGAAAATAAAACTCATAATCTATCTATTTGTAAGCCCGAAATTTTTTGGTTTCCTTCTCTCAATACAAAATAAATTAGTTATTCCGTGTTTCTAAATTATTGAGTTTGAAATGTTTTTCTAAATATAATTTTATCAATATTTTACGTGTGAAAACAAATAATTTTTTTATATGAATTGAAGACACATTTTTTGACATCACCCGGGCCTCAAAAATCTCTAGACTGACCTTGCAAACACATCAGAACACTCTCCACTAATAATCCAAAACGGTAGAGCCATCATCTGTCACAAATGATTGTTGTACAACACAAAAACCCAAGCATTCAAACCGACATTCGTGAACATATGCTTAATATAAACCATCTTAGTTGCAATGGTCACCAAATCGGCAAACGCCCACGAATACGCAGTCGAACTAAAACCCAATCGCTGGCCACATAACCAACAGCTCCACCCAAAATGATCAACAACGATACAAAGGTAAGCTTAGACGGGATTGGCTGCTTCCTAAACGCAGTATCCGCCAGCGCAACCAAAAGGGGCGTGCAGGATCTAAACACTACAAACGTATCCACATTCGCATGGCGAAGAAGATTGGTGTTGATAAAGATAGCAAGGTAAAACACAAGTGCAGCGGGCAAAAACGTCTTGGCCGTCTGCCATGTGAAGGGATCGTGGTGCAAAAATCCTGACTTTCCCAAACCGCAAACTCCCAAAGCAGATGTAAGGTACTGCAATGCAGTCAAAAGGCCAGGGTAGTTGAATTTGGTAATGGCAAACTTGTTTATCACGGCTAACAAGCTAGAACAGAGAGCATCCCCAATCACAAGACTGCTAGTAGCGAAATACGGCTTAGCAGAATCGACTTTAATCGCAGACATTGTCACTAACTAAAGTACCAATTCGAATTCAGAGCAAAAAATATCGAGCAGATCTTCAAAATTTCAAGAGCTATATGTACAGTGAAAGGCTACACTAACAGAGGCAAGTGAAAGAAATCGAAGACGTGAACACTTCATAGAGAAATCTGAGATATGGGTTTTGAAGATTATGCCGATCTACTATTTGGGTTTGAAATTAATGCATTAAACGACAATTGAATCGGTTGAATGGAAAGCTATGAAGAATTGAACATCACCGACATGCAGAAAAGCTCGGATCTTTGAGCGAAACGAAGACGACGACGGGGTTGCGGCGGAGGCCGAGATCTAGGAAGGAGCTCCGGCGAGCTCAGAGGAGCGAAGTGAAATTTCTAAGGCGTTGCAGAGCAGAAAGACTGGTGGAGTGGAGAAATAACATTGAAATTTCTACGGCGTTAAGATTTTGTTCTTGTACAAGGGAGAGTGTTGAAGACTTTTTGGTTTTTCAATCGAGTAAGACATTGAAATCTCTCAAAATGTCAATTGAATTCACCACCTAATTATTTAAAGGGAAATTGAAGCCTAAAAAAATAGGACAACAATGAAAGATAATTTGTAAATTTGTTTAACTTTTCCTCGAACAACTCAAATATGCTTTTCTATAAAAACTATACAGATTTAATTTCACAGTCCAACTAAAACTCAATCACATGATAACTCAGTAATACAGTCTGATGATATTCCTCTCTACTTGAAAATGAGAGGTCTTAGTTTTGAATATCGTGAATAACGAATTTGATATCAAATTAAGTTGCTCATTATGTGACTTAGCCAAATTCTTCCTCTCTAATATAAAAATATCAATGTAGCAATAAAAAAACAAAACCCGGTCACATAAACATGATTTCCTGAATGAATGCATATGATTTTTACCTCAGCTTCTCAACCTCCTAGTGGTGAGGATGCGCGTATGAACATAGGTTGGAATGAACCTCCTTGTAAACCAATCAAAATAACCAATCTCCTTCTCAACCTCCTGCAACCAAGACAGAGCCGCCGTCAACAAGCTCATGATTTTCTGCACCGACACATCTCTCGGAAACTTTGATTACGCCGAGAAAGTCTTCCGTTTCATCAAAGATCCGTGCTTGTTTGTTTACGATGTGATGATCAAGGCGTTTGCCAAAAGGAGTAGTTTCAGAAGCGCCGTTGAGCTCTTCCGGCGGCTGAGAGAGGAGGGATTGTGCCCCTATAATTTTACCTACCCATTTGTTTCAAAAGCCATTGGATGCTTGGGAGAGGTTCGGGAAGGTGAAAAGGTTCGTGTGTTTGTGGTAAAAACTGGAATTGGGTTTGCTGGTATGTGTGCAACGCTCATTGACATGAATGCATAGTTGGGCATGGTTGAGAGTTTCAAGCAGGTGTTTGATGAAATACCCGAGAGAAACAGGCTTTGTTGGAACTTGAACGTTACGATTTCGAGGTATGTTAGGTGCTGTTGTAACCACCATTTAGGTTTGAGGAGGCTTTGGATATGTTTCGGAGGATGTCATGTGAGAGCAACGAGAAGCCCGATGAAGCTACGGTTGTAACCACCATTTAGGCTTGAACAACATCGAAAACTTTGGAGCTTGGTAAAGAAATTCATGAATATGTTAGAAGTGAACTTGGATTCACTACTAGAACTGGAAATGTGGTTGTTGAATATGTATGTAAAACGTGGTTATTTGATTGAAGGCCGAAGAATTTGTAATGGGTATACAATACAAGCAAAGAATGGGGTTGCAAGGAATGGCAAGACAAGCGAAGGAAAAATGTGCAGATTGGCATGAAGCCTGATGATTTCACCTTCATTGTTGTCTTAACTGACTGCGTTCACAGAGGGTTGGTAGATGAGGGTTGTGAGTTCTTCAACTCCAATAGAAAGATATATGAGATTGAGCGAGGTTAGAACACTATGGTTGCCTGATCGACCTTCTTGGCCGTACCAGACTGCTAGACGAAGCAGAGGAGTTAATAGAAAGGGTTCCAAGTGAGATTATAGTCCCGATTTCTATATGTTTGCATCCATGGTCAGTAACTGCACATTTCAATCTAAAATTTTGATTTAGGACCGAAAAAGTCAAAATATGATGCTAATAATTTCATGAATGAGGAATTCGATACTAAATTAACCTAAAAATGAGAGAGAGATACGTTATGTTGCAAAGTTTGATAATGCCTTTATTATTGGGTTTAGATGAGATAACGGGGTGCAAAGACTAAACCTAGGTCTAATTGGACTAATAAATGTTTAGATGTTCTGAAAATCTCATTGTCCTTATCTAAAATGCTATCATTTCGTTACTTTTTTATTTATTTTTTTGCTAGTCAGAGCATATTTCACTAGAACAGAGATTGGCTGCTGAAAAATCAGCAGCAGCCAAGCTTTCTCCTTTTCACTATGCTAGCTACTTTGCTGACCCTAGCTGTCGTCCAGTAAATATGCTTACCAGCTCTTACCTATAAAACGGAATCACGCTTAGAATTTGAACCTACGACATTGAGATTTGGAGACATACATTGTACCCGACTAAACTAAGAGAGCTTTCTTATCACAGGAAATACAAAGAGTGATGGTCCACACACAAATGAAAATTAAAAAAAAAAACAAAAGCGATTTGAATTTGATTGCACTTTTCATTCTCTCTTTCGTTCCTTCTTCCATGAACTTCGCATCATCCCTTTACATTGCTCACTTCTCCATATACTTTTCCTCCATGTCTAAATTAAAAAAAATTAAATCTAAAAATCAAAAATAAAATGCTTATCGAATTGACCGATATTTTGATTTAATTACAACAACAAAAATCTGAACTGTGCTCTTAATTATTTGGTTCCACAAGAGAATACAAATTTTTGTATCTTCTTAATTATAGTAATTTATACTAATATTCCATTTGAAGACTTGTACCACCTGAGGCTGCATACTAATACCATATGAAGGCAAGATTATTCAATGCTAATCCTTGAAAATGAAATTCAAGAAATTTAATCATTTGGCCTGTTGTCATTCCTTTTACAAAACCAGTTTTAGAGTTTATAAGTTAATAGAATTGATAGACTCATCATTTATCAACCGAATTTGCTTTCAAATTTCAACAGACGATTCATAAATATCATTAGAAATAAATAATGTTATTAGGTTTTTCCTTTTTCTGGCTGCGGACATAGTACGTATTTTGCAAGGCCACCCTGACATACACACATTAGGCTACTCGTCGCAGGACAAACATGTAGATGAAGATAACTTCAGAAGAAAAAGAGCCCTGTAAATACAAATTATTTATAATTAGGTTTACTATATTGTTATATATGTGACCACTGACCATAGAATATAATAGTCTTCATTACAAAACTTGAGCTAACTCTAGCTATGCTAATTAAGTTAATAACAAGTAGTACTAGTCTCTCTATACTTATGCACCCGGAGCAAAATCATAGTCAACATCATCGTCATCGCCATCGCCATCGTCCCCATCCCCTTCTGAGTATGTTACCGACGAAAGATCATCCTTTAAATATTATATTATTCAGCTAAACAATAAGATTTTAACAATGCTAATCAATCACTAATTTATTACTCATTTAATTGATTTTTTGTAAAATTAATCTTAAAGGATGAAGAGTCGTACTATATCATCGTTACCATTTATTTTTCGGCTGCCCCTTAAGATTAATTTTGTAATGTTCTTTAAGATTAATTTTGTAAGATGATTTTAGCCCAAGACGTACATGTTAAATATTATTATTTAATGTGTCCATAATTGACTGATGGAGATAGTTTTATTCTTATTTGTTTCTTTAGGAGGGAAATTTCTAAGGCGTTACAGAGCAGAGAGACTGGTGGAGTGGAGAAATAGCATTGAAATTTCTACTGGCGTTAAGATTTTGTTCTTGTAGGAGGGAGCGTTTTGAAGACTTTTTCAAACGAGTAAGATATATTTAATGTCTGCTCTGATTTGTTGAAGATCCTGCAGATTTATAATAATTTCATGGCTAAATAGCCAAAATGGTATCTGAGATTTGCATAATCAATAGAAATGGTCACTGAGATTAAAAATAAATATACATGATCCCTGAGATTGTCCACCATTCATGATTTTGGTATTCCCGTTAAAAACTCTTTGGGCAATTTTCAAAGCTTCGTAACTCAATCGATTCTTAACCAAATTCGACCCATAATATATCAAATGAGAGAAAGTGTAGAGCAAGATTATACCTATTTGGAAGCCCAATGGTTGCCGGAGATTGCCGAAAATAGCCTGAAATGTGACTGGTCCGTGGGAAAATTGAAAAATTCGCCAGAAACTGGGTAAATTTTAAACGTTTATAACTTCTTCAATACTCAACAAAATCGAGTGATTCGAAAACGAAAATCATACTTCTTGACGAGACGAAGAGAATGGTACATTTCTCGACGACTAACTCGCCGTGGTTTGGCAAGAAAACGGCTCAAAAGTGGCTAACTCTCCATCAAAATCTATAAATTTATAAATCTATTAAAATCTCTTAAAATCTCAATTGAATTCACCCTCCTAGTTATTTAAAGGGAAATTAAAGCCTAAAAAATAGGACAACAATGAAAGATAATTTGTAAATTTGTTAAACTTTTCCTCGAATAACTCAAATGTGCTTTTCGATAAAAACTATATAGATTTGATCTCACAGCCCAACTAAAACTCAATCACATAGCAACTCAGTACTACAGTCCGGTGATATTCTTCTCCACTTGAAAGTGAGAGGTCTTAGGTTTGAATCTCGTTGATGACAAATTTAATACCAAATTAAATTGCTCATTATGTGGCTTAACCGAACTCCTCATTCTCTTAATATAAAAATATCAATGTACCAATAACAAAAAATAAAACTCGGTCACATAAACATGATTTCCTGAATGAATGCATATGATTTTTACCTTAAGAAGTTCACGAAATCAGCTTCTCAACCTCCTGGTGGTGAGGATGTGCGTATGAACATAGGTTCGAATGAACTACCTTGTAAACCAATCTCCTTCTCAACCTCCTGCAACCAAGACAGAGCCGCCGTCAACAAGCTCATGATTTTCTGCACCGACCCATCTCTCGGAAACTTTGATTACGCCGAGAAAGTCTTCCGTTTCATCAAAGATCCGTGCTTGTTTGTTTACGATGTAATGATCAAGGCGTTTGCCAAAAGGAGTAGTTTCAGAAGCGCCGTTGAGCTCTTCCGGCGGCTGAGAGATGAGGGATTGTGCCCTTATAATTTTACCTACCCATTTGTTTTAAAGCCATTGGATGCTTGGGATAGGTTTGGGAAGGTGAAAAGGTTCGTGTGTTTGTGGTAAAAACTGGAATTGGGTTTGATGGTATGTGTGTAACTCGCTCATTGACATGAATGCGTAATTGGGCATGGTTGAGAGTTTCAAGCAGGTGTTTGATGAAATACCCGAGAGAAACAGGCTTTGTTGGAACTTGGAACGTTACGATTTCGAGGTATGTTAGGTGCAGGAGGTTTGAGGAGGCTAGCTTTGGATATGTTTCGGAGGATGTCATGTGAGAGCAACAAGAAGCCCGATGAAGCTACGGTTGTA